CTGTCCTCGACCAACTCCTCCGGGTGGGCTAGGGTGCGGGCGCACCTCCTGGCCCCCGCACCTCTCCCTCCACCCCCTCTTGGCCGCCAGCTTCCCCCGCCCTGGGAGGAGCTGGGGGTGGGGGCACCGCTGCGCGGGCGGATCCTGAGCGCGCCACAGGGTCCAGCCCGAGCCTGGGGTAAGGGGCAAAGGGAGGGCAGGGGGGGTGTATTGGGGGACCGGCCAGGGGCGAGCGGAGTCCCCGGCTGCCCCCTCCGCCCTTCCCGCGCTGGGATTCTAAGCCGACAGGGGGCGTCCGCAGGCCGGCTCCGACACGCTCCCAGCGCCGCCGCTTTGTTTGCATTCAAATCCCCGGAGCTGGGGGAGGGGAGAACCCGATGGGACCCGGGACGAGGTCTTGTCCCGCACCCTTTGTTTTGGGGTGAGCAGGTCCCCAGCTTTTGTGTCCTTGTACCCAGCACGGATGGACACTGGGGCAGTGGAGACCAATCCCGATGGCTTGCCTAGGCCAGGGTCCGCGGGGCGCAATCCCCGACTTGGAAAGCCTGGTCAGAGCCGGGGGAGCGCATCCGGCGCCGACGGTGCGCGCCCAGCGGTGCACGAGGAACCCCCTCGTGCTCCCCACCCTCTTTCACTTCCCCCGCCCCGCCTGCCGGGAGATCCCTGATGAGACCAGAGCCGCTGTTATCCTGCCGCCCCTCTGCCCGAGGGCTCTCGTCTCATCTGAGGCTGTGCGAGGGACAGGATGAGGGCCTGGTCATTTCCACGCCCATCCCACCCACTTCCTGCCTCCCTCTTGGGCAACAAAGGGGCCTCGGGAAGCTGGGCCCCTTCGGCTCCCGGCCCCACTCCCACTCGGCCGGAGCCGAAGGAGCCCAGCTCCCACTCCTGTCCTGCTGATGTGGAACGGGGTTGTGGGCTCTGCCCGGCCATGCCTCGGGGCAGGGAACAGCGGTCCCCCTCTGGGGTCTTCCCAGCAGCCCACCCCTCCTCACCCTCTCTCGCCAGCTGAGGGGGTTGCCTGCCAGAATGAGGTCTTGGCTGGCTGGAGCCCCAGTAGAGGCAGGTCTTGCTTCCTGAGGTTATTTCAGGAAACGCAAATCTTTTAGGCCTGAGCCCTGGATAAAACGGTTCCCCTCCTAATTTTTTAAACAACTCCCTGTTGAGCAGAGGGAGTGGGGGGAGGGCCTAGAGGAGGCCAAGGAGGGCTTCTTGGAGTCTGTCCATCCTCCAGTTGACCCAGTTCCTCCCGTGCCCCCGGGGTGAGCCCATGTCTTTTGGGGACAAAGGAGGGGGGGTGAGGCCAGGTCTGGGGAACTAGGTCTCCCTCCAAAGAGAAGAACATCGGGACGTCCTGGGCTCCTGCAGAGGCCTGGCCAGGTGCTGTGTCCTCTCCTGTCTGCCTGTGGGGTGGGGGTGCACGTCTGGTCTGTTTTCTGGGGCTGTGATTCTGACTCCTTCTTTTCCCTCAGCAGGGCAGCTGGCCTGGATCTCAGAGCTGGGGTGTGTGCCATGGCCCCACACTGGGCTGTCTGGCTGCTGGCAGCAGGGCTCTGGGGCCTGGGCATTGGGGCCGAGGTGTGGTGGAACCTTGTACCCCGGAAGACAGTCTCTTCTGGAGGTGAGTGTCTGAAGTCCGGCAGGAGGGATCCAGGGAGAAGAGAGAGGCTGCCAGGGAACTGCCCCCAGTAATGTGCCTGGTACAGCTTTCTAAGAAACACAAGTGGCCCCAGGGACCCAGGACGGGTAGTTTGCCTCCTTCTGACTCTTAGGATGGCTCTGGAGGAAATCTCTTGCCAACCCCCCACCCCAGGCCTGGCTGCCCTCAGATGTGAGGGAGAGGCCATTCTCCTTACGCTGGACTGCCACCAGTGCTGGGGTCCTGGAGAGAAGCCCAAACCGGGCTGGGCTATACAGAAACTAAGGCCATGTCTGTCTGTCCTGCACCCGCCCCCCCACCCCCAGTCTTTTAGCTGTCAGTCCGTAGGAGCCCCCTCAGAGACCCCTCTGCTGCCCCTACGCTCATGCCCTCTGGTGGCCCGGGATGCATGTGTGTATGTGCAGGTGCTCACACTGGGGGGACAGCATGGGCTAGCGGCCCTCCTCGTGCACACACACCTGCACGAAGAGGTGATGTCAGGTGTTTGTATCGCCCGTGTGCTCTGGGGACCTGGGATGAGCTCACCTCCCTCAGGCTCCACTCAGGTGCTAATGAAGCCCGCCTCTGCCGACCTGTGTCAGTCTGCCGTTGCCCCCAAAGACTAAGGCTGGTTTGGGGAGACCCTGAGGACATGTTGGCAGCTATTTTGGGGGCTGATGTAGGACTGAATGAATGTTGTAGTGCTCTGTGTGCAGGATGACAGCAGGGTTCCCCAGGTCCCTGGCTTCAGCGCTATCTCTGGTCCCCAAGCTCTGGTCTCCCTGACTGTCCTGGCTTGGCCACTTTCACCTCCTGCCATGCCCTCCTGTCCCAGTGGCCAGCTGTGCCGTGTCTCTGGCCGCCTGGATTTCGGTCCTGCTGGTGAGAAGGGTTTCCCGAGGCAAGGAGTATTCAGACTGTTCTGTACCTCCTGCCCTGCTGGGTTTGTGGGGGCCTGGCTGGACCTGTCTGAGCAGTGGGCAGCAGAGCGAAGAAGGAAGCAGGGGGTGGGGGTGCCCAGCTCTGGCCGCTGACCCTGGGAGTGAGAGCCATCAGTCCGATGGCTTCCTCTGGCCGGAAGCTGTGGCTAAGATACCCTTCCTTCCTCCTCACCAGCCGGATTTGTCTCCTCCCGGACTGGGGAAGGCCAGGGAGGCCGGGGTGGAGCTGACAGAGCCAAGAGGCTATTGAGAAGATGCCCTTCATTGGCTGTCAGGGCTCTGCTGGCATCCGCTTATAGGGGAAGCTGAAGTGGGGAGCCAGGGTGATATGACTAGCCCAGAAGACCACCTTACAGAGGAGGACTGGCTGTGGGAGAGAGGGAGCCTGGACCCCTACCCTCCCTGGCCCTCCTCACCCCCACCTGTCCCTGTCCCTGCAGAGCTGGCCACAGTGGTGCGACGCTTCTCCCAGACGGGCATCCAGGACTTCCTGACGCTGACCCTGACGGAGCGCACCGGCCTGCTATACGTGGGGGCCCGCGAGGCCCTGTTTGCCTTCAGCATGGAGGCTCTGGAGCTGCAAGGAGTGGTGAGAGGTGGGGCAGCGGGAGGCGCACAGGCCGGGTGAGGGGGCAGGACCAGAGGGGCTCCGCTTGGTCAGGCTGCCCCAGCCAGCTGCCCCAAGGAGGTTTCGCACTGCCCTCCTCTCCTCCTAGCACTTCGTGGGTACCACATGGTGGGGAGGCGGGGGCCCTGTCCTCACTGAAGGAAGCCCCCCGAGGACTAGGCCCGAGTCTGCACTGGGTGCTCCTGGTTGCTGACATGCCTCTCCCTGTCCCCAGATCTCCTGGGAGGCCCCGACTGAGAAGAAGACCGAGTGTATCCAGAAAGGGAAGAGTAACCAGGTGGGTGCCCGGAGCTACCTTTGTCCCAGAGCTGGTCTGCAGCTGGTTCTTAGCCCCAGTGGTGCTGCTTCTCGGATCCTCAGATCCCTACTAACTGGACACCTGTCTGTCCCTAGACGGAGTGCTTCAACTTCATCCGCTTCCTGCAGCCCTATAACGCCTCCCACTTGTACGTCTGTGGCACCTATGCCTTCCAGCCCAAGTGCACCTACATCGTAAGTCTACCCCTCTCCACACAGGACCTCCCACCCCGCCCCGGGCAGGCCCTGGTGCCCTGCCTTTGCGCCTCTTCTCACGGCCTCCTCCTCTGCCCAGGACATGCTCACTTTCACCTTGGAGCGTGGAGAATTGGAGGACGGGAAGGGGAAGTGTCCCTATGACCCAGCTAAGGGCCACACTGGCCTCCTTGTGGGTGAGTGGCTGCCCCGATGCAGGCTGAGCGAGTCCCCAGGGCCAGGGTGCCACTCTGGTCGGAGCAGGTCCACGTCTCACCTCTGCCTCCTGTAGACGGTGAGCTGTACTCGGCCACGCTCAACAACTTCCTGGGCACGGAGCCCGTCATTCTGCGCAACATGGGGCCCCACCACGCCATGAAGACAGAGTACCTGGCCTTCTGGCTCAATGGTGAGGGCCTGAGGGAGCCAGGACTGGGAGGGCCTGGGGGTGGGCGGCACTCTGGCGCTGATGCCCCCTCGCCTTCCCACAGAACCTCATTTCGTGGGCTCTGCCTACGTACCTGAGAGTGTGGGGAGCTTCACGGGCGACGACGACAAGATCTACTTCTTCTTCAGCGAGCGGGCGGTGGAGTATGACTGCTATGCCGAGCAGGTGGTGGCTCGAGTGGCCCGTATCTGCAAGGTACCGAGTCCTGCCTCAGAGGGCCCCGGGAGCCCTGCCGGCCCAGCCGCTGACCTGCAGTATCCTCTTGCATCTGCCAGGGTGACGTGGGGGGCGCACGGACCCTGCAGAGGAAGTGGACCACGTTCCTGAAGGCACGGCTGGTGTGCTCTGCCCCCGACTGGCAGCTCTACTTCAACCAGCTGCAGGCAGTGCACACCCTGCAGGGCACCTCCTGGCATAACACCACCTTCTTTGGGGTTTTTCGGGCACGATGGTGAGTTGGCCAAGAAGCTCTGTGATCAGGAGAAGTAGGTGCTCAGGGTAGGGGTGGTGGATGGGTGTGAGGGCCTAGACCTGTCCTCTGGGGAAGTCCAGGTGGTCAGTTGTCCAGAATGCTGGGCACCTGCCCCTTTCAAAGCTGCCCTGGGGAATTGGGCAGGGCCCCGCCCAGAGGGTGCTGTAGGGCTGCCAGCGCGTCTTCATGCCCATGAGTGCTTGTGCTGGGCCTTGCCGGCCTGCTGTCTGCCCAGTACTGGAGTGACATGAGGCTGGGGTCACCACTCCTGACGCTTGGAGTTTCCTCCCTCGCTGTGACAGGGGCGACGTGGACCTGTCAGCCATCTGCGAGTACCATCTGGAAGAGATCCAACAGGTGTTCGAGGGTCCCTACAAAGAGTACCACGAGCAAGCCCAGAAGTGGGGCCGCTACACTGACCCCATACCCACCCCTCGGCCCGGCTCGGTGAGTCTCCAGGGCAGGGCTGTGTTCTCGCCTCCGCACAGCGCTGTCTCTACCCTGCTGACGGCTCTCTCTCCATCCTAACCCCCAGTGCATCAACAACTGGCACCGACGCCACGGCTACACCAGCTCTCTGGAGCTGCCTGACAACACCCTCAACTTCATTAAGAAGCACCCACTGATGGAGGAGCAGGTGGGGCCTCAGTGGGGCCGCCCCCTGCTAGTGAAGAAGGACACTAACTTCACCCACCTGGTGGCTGACCGGGTCAGAGGACTGGACGGAGCCACCTATACGGTCCTGTTCATTGGCACGGGTAGGCACGTGGGCGCATGGGATGGTTGTTGGGGGCTGGACCAGGGAGATCCGGAGCTGCCCCAGGGCCTCTTGCCCTCCCTTTACACCTTCCCTCTCCGCCCCCAGGAGATGGCTGGCTGCTCAAAGCCGTGAGCCTGGGGCCCTGGGTCCACCTGATTGAGGAGCTGCAGGTGTTTGACCAGGAGCCCGTGGAAAGCCTGGTGCTGTCTCAGAGCAAGGTAAGTCAGGCCCACGTGCTGCCAGCCCAGCGCCGCCCTGGCTCCCTCCCCATATCTGTCTGCTTTCCCCACTGGGGCTTATGAGCTGAGCCAGCAAGGCACACCTCGCTCAGCTTGGAGTGGGTTCCTGGAAACCAGAGCGCTAACGCAACGGAATCCGTGCTCCACAGGGCTGTTATATATAGCAGAGTCCCTGTGGGCTGCATTCCCATAACCAGGCCTTGGCAACTGCTCTCGTCGTCCTTAGACCCCTGCAAGCTGTGCTGCTGCTCTGACCGCAGCCTCGTCTCTGATCACGCCCCTGTGGCCAGACCTCCCAGGCTGCGGGCGTTCAGGCTGCCCTCCCAACTATGGCTTCCTACTGGCCACTAGCCCTTAGGTCACTGTCTGGGCACAACCTTCCCATTCTTTTTTGAAAATGTATCAGAGGGCACGTGTACTTGCCAGAGAAAGAGAGGGAGAAAGAACACCTCAGTGGGGTTTGGTCACTAGAATTCCTTCTCCATTTCTCCATCCTGTTGGAATGTGAGGCGCAGGTGCACACACACGTACCTGGTGTGTTTTTCAAGCTGCCAGGGCTGGGATTTGAACTGCACAGCCAGCCATGTGGGATCTGGGTCCCCTAACCACTAGGCCATAGGGCCAGCCCCCAGTCTTCCCCTACTTGAGCGTTTCCCTGGAGTGCTTGCACTTTATGGTCATGCACTGCTGTTTTCTGGCGTGGAGACAGCACCCCTGAACTTGGATTTGTTTGCCTTTTACCAGCCTTTGTGACTCAAAATTGTTCCCTAGCGCATGGAATAATGGCAGAAAGAATGTGATTGAATAAACACACAGATTGGCAGTCACCATTCAGACAGGAAAATACCTTATGCTGTGCTGTGCTATTGTGAGGGCTGCTGGGCCTTGAGAAAAACATGCTCCTACACTGTGTGTGTGTGTGCGCATGTGTGAGTGATTGCACCTCTCAGCCTCTCAAGGCTGTTGCCCGTCCCTCTCTAAGAAGGTCATGTCCGTAAGGTGCTTAGGATTGATTGCGTCTGGATTGTCTTAGTCTCTGCATTCTTTGGTTCTTAGATTGTTCCTTCAGGACTATGGCTCTGCCTTCCTCTGGGCACCTCTGTCTCTGTGTTGTGTCCCGGTCCTGCAGCCTCTCCCATGGGTGTGACAGTGCTGACCCTCCCATGCTGTGCGGGATTCTCTTGCAGAAGCTGATCTTCGCTGGCTCCCGCTCTCAGCTGGTTCAGCTGCCCCTGGCAGACTGCGTGAAGTACCGGTCCTGTGTGGACTGCGTGCTCGCCCGGGACCCCTACTGCGCCTGGAACGTCAGCACCAGCCGCTGTGTGGCTGTGGGTGGCCACTCGGGGTGAGTTGGGCTCTGACGTGCTGGGACCAAGAGGAGTGGCGGGGTGCCTAGAGCCAGGCTCTGACGGACTCTGCTCCCCTGCCAGATCCCTGCTGATCCAGCATGTGACGGTCTCGGACTCCTTGGGCATTTGCAACTTCCCTGGCAATAAGAAAGGTGAGCTGTCTTTTCTGTCCCCGTCTCGTTTCGGTTCTGTTATTCACCACGTGCACTCCAGAGAGGAGAGGGAGGAGAAAGCACCCCCTGATGGGGCATAGTCATGCTGCAGTCCCTCCTCCATTTTTCCATCCTGTTGGGATTTGGGGCACACACATGTACACCTGGTGTGTTTTATAAACTTCCAGGGCCAAGATTCAAACTGTGGTCAGCCATGTGAGTTCTGACTCCCTTAACAACCGGACCACAGGGGCCTTTTTTTTTTTTTTTTAAAGAGATATTTTTGCTGTAGGGGTGCGTACACTTGCCAGAGAGACAGAAAGCGAGAAGTCACGCCCTAGGAGGGATGGCCACGCCACAGTCCCTTCTCCATTCTCCCCCCCTTGGCTGCTGGTCACTATAGGGATTTTGGGTATGCATGCATACCTGCTCAGCATGAGTTTGTTTGTTTGTCTATTTACTTATTTATTTATTTTGGAGAGGTTTTTGCTATAGGGCGCATGCGCTTACCAGAAAGACAAAGAGAGACAGAGAGATAGAAAGTGAGAAATCACTCCCCAGAGGGAATGGCTATGCCGCAATCCCTTCTCCATTCTCTTCTTGGGATCTTGGGCATGCACGCACACGCGTCCGGCGTGAGTTTTAAGCCACCGGGTCCGGGACTCGAACTGCAGTCGGCTATGTGGGAGTTCAGTGACATAGCCATTACGCTAACTGCTGGTGCCCTCAGCATGAGTTTTAAGCCACCTGGTCTGGGACTCAGACCGTGGTTGACTACATGGGAGTCCAGCAACGCACTTGCTATGCCATCTGCTGGTCCCACGGCCTTGATTTTAAAATTTTTTTCTTGAAGTGAGAGAGAGTAGAAGAAGCCCCTCAGCAGAAACTTATCATGCAGTGTTCCCCTTTTCCCAGTCCTCCAGCTCCTCTGGACCCTGGGTGTCCTCAGGTGCACCTGGTACATTTCCAGGCCCACCATCCAGGAATCCGCACCTGCGGTCAGCCACATGGCTTCCAGCATTGCAGTCCAGTACACTGTGGACCATGCCACTGAGGCCAGGCCCCTCCCTTTTTTTTTTTTTTTTTTTTTGAGGTTTTTGCTATAGAGTGTGTGTGCTCGCCAGACAGACAGAGACAGAGAGACAGAAAGCGAGAAATCACCCCCCGGGGGTACGGCCACGCCGCAATCCCTTCTCCATTCTCTTCTCGGGATCTTGGGCACGTGCGCACACGCGCCCAGCGTGAGTTTAAGCAACCAGGTCTGGGGACTCAAACCGCGGTCAACTACATGGGAGTTCAGCGACATAGGCATTACGCCAACTGCTGGTCCTAAGGCCCCTCCTGTTTTTAAAGGGCCCTGGGCCAGAGCTGGGATTTCTCGCCTCCCCTTGGCTGCTGGTCTTCCGCACTGACCTCTGCTCTCTCTTTTTCTCTGCTGCTGCAGTCAGGCTCACTCCCAAAAACATCACGGTGGTGGTGGGCACAGACCTGGTGCTGCCCTGCCGCCTCTCCTCCAACCTGGCCCGGGCTCGCTGGACCTTCGGGGGCCGGGACCTACCTGTGGAACAGCCTGGCTCCTTCCTCTATGACGCACGGCTACAGGCCCTGGTCCTGATGGCTGCCCAGCCACGCCATGCCGGCGCCTCCCCCTGCTTTTCGGAAGTTGGCTGCTGAAGTCTACCTTGTGGCCGTGGGGTCGGGCCCGTCGGTGATGCTGGAGGCCCGGGCGCCCTTGGAAAACCTGGGGCTGGTGTGGCTGGCTGTGGTGGCCCTGGGGGCCGTGTGCCTGGTGCTGCTGCTGCTCGTCTTGTCCCTACGCCGGCGGCTGCGGGAAGAGCTGGAAAAAGGAGCCAAGGCGGCCGAGAGGACCCTGGTGTACCCTCTGGAGCTGCCCAAGGAGCCCACCAGTCCCCCTTTCCGGCCTGGCCCCGAAACAGATGAGAAACTTTGGGATCCTGTTGGCTACTACTACTCAGATGGCTCCCTCAAGATTGTGCCTGGACACGCCCGGTGTCAGCCCGGGGGTGGGCCCCCTTCTCCACCCCCGGGCATCCCGGGGCAGCCCCTGCCCTCTCCGACTCGGCTTCACCTGGGGGGTGGGAGGAACTCAAATGCCAACGGTTATGTTCGCTTGCAGCTCGGAGGTGAGGACCGGGGAGGGCTTGGGCATGGGCACCCCCTGCCTGAGCTCGCCGACGAACTGAGGCGCAAACTGCAGCAGCGCCAGCCCCTGCCGGACTCCAACCCCGAGGAGTCGTCGGTATGAGGGACCCGAGACGTCGGCCGAGAGCGTGGGAGGTGGAGCTTCTACTTTGCACAGGCACCAGCTACCTCAGGGACATGGCCCGAGCACTGCTGGCCGGGGACAGATGCCACTGGCCCTGCTCGGCCATGGGGACCTGCTCTGCTCAGCATGGGCACTGCCACTCGTCGTGGCTCACCAGGGCACAGCCTCACAGAAGGCATCTTCCTCCTGTCTTTGAATCACAGACACACGGGACCCCAGCAGCCAAAACTCTTCAAGGCAGAAGTTGTGAGATTGTGAGTGAGTGAGTGTGTGTGTGTGTGTGTGCGTGCGTGTGCATGTGTGTGCACATGTGTAGTGATGCTGCCTTGTTTCTGTCGAGTCTTCCCCTGGCCTGGGGTCGTCCTGGTGAGTCATTGGAGCTATGAAGGGGAAGGGGTCGGATCACGTTGCCTCTCCTACCCCCACCTGTCCCCAGTGTGGGGCAGCCATGTACATATGGGGGTGGGGTGGGCAGGGTGCTGTACCCCTGTGTGGGGAGAACGCAGGGCTCGGGGTGGGCCTAGTCCTGCACCTAGGGCTGTGAATGTTTCGGGGGGGGAGGGAGATGGAGCCTCCTGTGTGTTTGGGGGGAAGGGTGGGCAGGGCCTCCCACTTGGCCCAGATATCTGGGGGTGTTTTCTACTTGTCTTCTTCCAGGCCAGGGCTGGGAAAGGCTGTGTGGGGGGACGGGAGGAGGGTGGGCGTGCTGTGGCGACTGGCATATCCTCTCCCAGCTCTAGGAGGAGGGTTCCTAACAGTGTAACTTATTGTGTCCCCGCGTATTTATTTGTTGTAAATATTTGAGTATTTTTATATTTACAAATAAAATGGAGAAAATGAAACTGATCCTGTGATGTGATAAGACACTGGGTAAAACCCACACAGTCCCAGGGTGGCCTCGGCCACTGCCTGCCTGTGCCTGCTTAGCGAGGGGGACAGCCGAGACGGCAGTGTTTTCCCACAGTGGTGGCTGTGGGGCTGGGAACCAGACCACGCCATGGCCCCTTGGGAGTCAGTCTTGGCTTCTGGCCAAAGGGAGAAGTGGGGGCACTGAGACTTGGGCGGGAGGGGAGCGGCGATTGACTTCCCAGAACTGGGAGGGTGAGTGGGAGAGGGGGCCGAAGGATGGGAGCTTCCTAGAAGCAGCTTAGGGTTGTGTAAACCAGGGAGTTGGTGTGATGACGGGGCTCCCAACCAGCTTAGGGGAGAAGAAACTATTCCCAGCTGCCTCGCTTCTAAGACTGCTAGTTCATGGCCCAGCAAGGGGAGGGAACCTAACCTGCTAGACGGGGTGAAAGACCATCCTAGCACGGTGCTGGGTGATTGTGAAGCGGCTCGCCTGGATTCTCATGTGGCATTTCTTTTTGGCTATAGGATGCATGTACAGGAGAGGCACAGAGAGAGAGGGAAAATGAGAAATCACCCCCGGGAGGATGGCCACTTGTGTTCCCTTCCCCTCCGTTCTTGGGATTTAGAGCACACACGTACACAGGCCCAGTGTACTTCTTATGCCACCCAGTCAGGGACTTGAACCGTATCGCTGGCCACATAGGAGCCAGCTACCTAAACCACCATGCCACCAGCTGCCCCCTTCTATGTTTAAGCTTATTTCTTCCATGAGAGACAGAGCGCACCCTGAGCAGCCCCTGATCCTGAGCACGCTGGTGCCTGAGGGCCCTCTCGTGTGGGTCAGCTTCGCTGAGCAAGTCTTATGATGGGTTTAGACAGTTTGATCCATTCCCATGGAGATGCAGTGAAGTACCCCCTCTATGCTAGACTTTGCGGGCCTGGGTTTCTTCCAGTGTGGACTGAGAAGACAGTCCTGCTGACTGGGACATGCATTGTCCACTTCATGCCGTCTGGGGACAGCCCAGGGGATGCTTCAATACATCAAGATCGATTGGGTACACAAGTGCCATTGCAAGGCTGGGGGGTGGTGGTATAAAGCAAGACCCTGTACCCTATTTGTCTTATGTGGGGTGCTCCTAGTGGCAGAGCAAGTCATGACTACCTGCTGCCCCTTACTGGATTTTTTTGAAGTTTCTTTCTTAAATGAGAAAGAAATAGAATGAGAGACAGAGAGGGGAAGCACTCCCAACAGGGCCTTGATGTCCTGATCCGCCCCCAGCGTCAGCCAGCCTTGGATCAGGGTGGCGCGTGCCCAGCATAGTCAGGGACACGAACCCAGAACCTTCCCGGGGGGGTCAGTCTCCAGAGCGCGGTGTGACCCTCTGCCACTGAGCCTCGCACACGCCTCTCCTCCCACCGGATTGTTTTAAGGATTGAGGGGTTAGGGGATGTCCTGAAGCCTTTCCAACGGTCACTGCCCCACCGGGACGGTTTGGAGAAGGGGTGAAAGAACACGGACCGCGCCTTGCAAGCCAGAGGGATGAGGGCGGTAACGGGAAAAGCCTCCGAGGCCTCGGGGAGGGCTGGGTCTGGGCAACGTCAGGAAAACACTCGCAGTCGGGCCTAGCAGCCTGGTCCCCACACCCTACATGGTCAAGCGGCCAGGCTGCCCTCCCCCGCGACGGCCTGTACCGACGCAGCACCGCCGCGCCCCGGCTCTCCGCCTCGCC